TATTTGGTCTTGTGACATCTGTGAGGTTTAAGTTGATTTTGACAGCCCGGGCCAAGTCGTACCGAACACTTCTGATTTTCTTAACAAAATACAGTAAAAATACTTCACTTTAACGGCGCAGATTTCTTTAAATGCGATACACTTGGACATTATAAAGTGGTGTATAGGTAGATATAATACTAATCTATAGATGTAAACACATTTGAAAATACATCTGTGAGGTTTAAGATGATTTTAACAGCCAGGCCAGGTCGGACCGAACATTCCTGACTTGGATTTTCTTAAGAAAATACAGTAAAAATGCTTCACTTTAACGGCGCAGATTTCTTTAAATGCGATACATCTGGACATTATGAAGTGGTGTATAGGTAGATATAATACTAATGTATAGATGTAAACACATTTGAAGATTCATATGTGTGTTTAAAGTTGATTTTGACCGCCCGGGCCAAGTCGGACCCAACACAAGCCAAACACTTCTGATAGAGACCATGTTGAGAATGTAGAGGGGAAAAGGGCTTCACTTTGAGCACCTTGTTTTCTTTAAGTACAGCCATCTGTGACATTATATACTGGTATCTAGGTAGATATAGTACTAATCTATAGATGTGAATCCATTTGATGATACATCTGTGAGGTTTAAGATGATTTTAACAGCCCGGGCCAAGTCGGACCGAACATTTCTGACTTGGATTTTCTTAAGAAAATACAGTAAAAATGCTTCACTTTAACGGCGCAGATTTCTTTAAATGCGATACATCTGGACATTATGAAGTGGTGTAGAGGTAGATATAATACTAATCTATAGATGTGAACACATTTGAAGATTCATATGTGTGTTTAAAGTTGATTTTGACAGCCCGGGCCAAGTCGGACCCAACACAAGCCAAACACTTCTGAAAGAGACTATGTTCAGAATGTAGAGGTGAAAAGGGCTTCACTTTGAGCACCTTGTTTTCTATAAATACTGCAATCTGTGACATTATAAAGTGGTTTATAGGTAGATATAATACTAATCTATAGATGTGAATCCATCTGATGATACATCTGTGAGGTTTAAGTTGATTTTGACAGCCCGGGCCAGGTCGGACCGAACACTTCTGACATAGATTTTCTTAAGAAAATACAGTAAAAATACTTCACTTTAACGGCGCAGATTTCTTTAAATGCGATACATCTGGACATTATAAAGTGGTGTATAGGTAGATATAACACTAATCTATAGATGTAATCACATTTGAAGATACATCTGTGTGTTTAAAGTTGATTTTGACCGCCCGGGCCAAGTCGGACTCAACACAAGCCAAACACTTCTGATAGAGACTATGTTGAGAATGTAGAGGTGAAAAGAGCTTCACTTTGAGCACCTTGTTTTCTTTAAGTACAGCCATCTGTGACATTATATACTGGTATCTAGGTAGATATAGTACTAATCTATAGATGTGAATCCATTTGATGACACATCTGTAAGGTTGACGTTGGTTTTAACAGCCCGGGCCAAGTCGGACCAAACATTTCTGACTTGGATTTTCTTAAGAAAATACAGTAAAAATACTTCACTTTATCGGCGCAGATTTCATTAAATGCGATACACTTGGACATTATAAAGTGGTGTATACGTATATATAATACTAATCTATAGATGTAAACACATTTGAAGATTCATATGTGTGTTTAAAGTTGATTTTGATCGCCCGGGCCAAGTCGGACCCAACACAAGCCAAACACTTCTGATAGAGACTATTTTGAGAATGTAGAGGTGAAAAGGGCTTCACTTTGAGCACCTTGTTTTCTTTAAGTACAGCCATCTGTGACATTATAAAGTGGTATTTAGGTAGATATAATACTAATCTATAGATGTGAATCCATCTGATGATACATCTGTGAGGTTTAAGTTGATTTTGACAGCCCTGGCCAGGTCGGACCGAACACTTCTGATATAGATTTTCTTAAGAAAATACAGTAAAAATACTTCACTTTAACGGCGCAGATTTCTTTAAATGCGATACACTTGAACATTATAAAGTGGTGTATAGGTAGATATAATACTAATCTATAGATGTAAACACATTTGAAAATACATCTGTGAGGTTTAAGATGATTTTAACAGCCCGGGCCAGGTCGGACCGAACATTTCTGACTTGGATTTTCTTAAGAAAATACAGTAAAAATGCTTCACTTTAACGGCGCAGATTTCTTTAAATGAGATACATCTGGACATTATGAAGTGGTGTATACGTAGATATAATACTAATCTATAGATGTGAACACATTTGAAGATTCATATGTGTGTTTAAAGTTGATTTTGACAGCCCGGGCCAAGTCGGACCCAACACAAGCCAAACACTTCTGATAGAGACTATGTTGAGAATGTAGAGGTGAAAAGGGCTTCACTTTGAGCACCTTGTTTTCTATAAATACTGCAATCTGTGACATTATAAAGTGGTTTATAGGTAGATATAATACTAGTCTATAGATGTGAATCCATTTGATGATACATGTGTGAGGTTTAAGATGATTTTAACAGCCAGGGCCAAGTCGGACCGAACATTTCTGACTTGGATTTTCTTAAGAAAATACAGTAAAAATGCTTCACTTTAACGGCGCAGATTTCTTTAAATGCGATACATCTGGACATTATGAAGTGGTGTAGAGGTAGATATAATACTCATCTATAGATGTAAACACATTTGAAGATACATATGTGTGTTTAAAGTTGATTTTGACCGCCCGGGCCAAGTCGGACTCAACACAAGCCAAACACTTCTGATAGAGACTATGTTGAGAATGTAGAGGGGAAAAGGGCTTCACTTTGAGCACCTTGTTTTCTTTAAGTAGAGCCATCTGTGACATTATAAAGTGGTTTATAGGTAGATATAATACTAATCTATAGATGTGAATCCATTTGATGATACATCCGTGAGGTTTAAGATGATTTTAACAGCCAGGGCCAGATCGGACCGAACATTTCTGACATAGATTTTCTTAAGAAAATACAGTAAAAATGCTTCACTTTAACGGCGCAGATTTCTTTAAATGCGATACATCTGGACATTATAAAGTGGTGTATAGGTAGATATAACACTACTCTATAGATGTAAACACATTTGAAGATACATCTATGTGTTTAAAGTTGATTTTGACCGCCCGGGCCAAGTCGGACTCAACACAAGCCAAACACTTCTGATAGAGACTATGTTGAGAATGTAGAGGTGAAAAGGGCTTCACTTTGAGCACCTTGTTTTCTTTAAGTACAGCCATCTGTGACATTATATAGTGGTATTTAGGTAGATATAGTACTAATCTATAGATGTGAATCCATTTGATGACACATCTGTAAGGTTGACGTTGGTTTTAACAGCCCGGGCCAAGTCGGACCGAACACTTCTGACATAGATTTTCTTAAGAAAATACAGTAAAAATACTTCACTTTAACGGCGCAGATTTCTTTAAATGCGATACACTTGGACATTATGAAGTGGTGTATAGGTAGATACAATACTAATCTATAGATGTGAACACATTTGAAGATACATATGTGTGTTTAAAGTTGATTTTGACCGCCCGGGCCAAGTCGGACCCAACACAAGCCAAACACTTCTGATAGAGACTATGTTGAGAATGTAGAGGTGAAAAGGGCTTCACTTTGAGCACCTTGTTTTCTATAAATACTGCAATCTGTGACATTATAAAGTGGTTTATAGGTAGATATAATACTAATCTATAAATGTGAATCCATTTGATGACACATCTGTGAGGTTTAAGATGATTTTAACAGCCCGGGCCAGGTCGCACCGAACATTTCTGACTTGGATTTTCTTAAGAAAATACAGTAAAAATGCTTCACTTTAACGGCGCAGATTTCTTTAAATGCGATACATCTGGACATTATGAAGTGGTGTAGAGGTAGATATAACACTAGTCTATAGATGTGAACACATTTGAAGATACATATGTGTGTTTAAAATTGATTTTGACCGCCCGGGGCAAGTCGGACCCAACACAAGCCAAACACTTCTGATAGAGACTATGTTGAGAATGTAGAGGTGAAAAGGGCTTCACTTTGAGCACGTTGTTTTCTTTAAGTACAGCCATCTCTGACATTATATAGTGGTAGTTAGGTAGATATAGTACTATTCTATAGATGTGAATCCATTTTATGATACATCTGTGAAGTTTAAGTTGATTTTGACAGCCCGGGCCAAGTCGGACCGAACACTTCTGATATAGATTTTTTAAAGAAAATACAGTAACAATGCTTCACTGTGAGCACCTTTTATTTTTTAAATGCGATGTACCGTGACATTATAAAGTGGCGTATAGGTAGATATAATGCTAATCTATAGATGTAAACACATTTGAAGATACATATGTGTGTTTAAAGTTGATTTTGACCGCCCGGGCCAAGTCGGACCCAACACAAGCCAAACACATCTGATAGAGACTATGTTGAGAATGTAGAGGGGAAAAGGGCTTCACTTTGAGCACCTTGTTTTCTATAAATACTGCAATCTGTGACATTATAAAGTGGTGTATAGTAAGATATAATACTAATCTATAGATGTAAACACATTTGAAGATACATCTGTGAGGTTTAAGGTGATTTTGACAGCCCGGGCCAAGTCGGACCGAACATTTCTGACATAGATTTTCTTAAGAAAATACAGTAACAATGCTTCACTTTGAGGACCTTGTATTCTTTAAATACGATGTACCGTGACGTTATAATGTGGTGTATACATTAAAATAGGCATTACTTGATTGGTTTTAGTTTTCCTGACAGTGGAATATGACTTTTGAAGAAAATTAATCAAACGTTTATAACTGCATATGTGTAATTTTTGGAGTGCTGTTATACTGAGAGCTGGCATCGATTTGACAAAAAAATTCAGGTAAGCTACAGTGCTGTGGCCGAGAATTCTCATACTTGATACACTGATACCAAATGTAAGGCTGTCCCCCAAGCAGACACCGTACACTTTAGGACTTTTTTCTTGTAGGTTGATGATGATGAGTTAGATGCCGATTTAGATTGAAGACACTGATGAAAAACAAGAAACAGTGAAGAATTTTCAAAGACTGAATCATAACGATCAAGGACAGATGGATGATAGTGACACGGAGTGTGGAGGATGTACACCAGCAAAGTGCAGGAGGAAGCACAATGACGGGGACACGTCATCTGGCGGGGAAAACATGGACCTTGCAGATATTCCCACGGACAACCCTCAAGGAACAACTGAAGGAGCAGGCTCTACTACGGAGGATGCAGATGTTGATGATAGTGACACAGAGTTTGGGGAATGTACACAAGCAGAGTGCAGGAGGAAGCATAATGACGGGGCCGCGTCATCAGACGGGGAAAACATGGACCTTGCAAATATTCCCACGGACAACCCTCAAGGAACAACTGAAGGAGCAGGCAGTACTACGGAGGATGCAGAAAATAAAGATGTTGATGAAGAGAGTGCTGACGAATGCTTGTTTGATGACATCACAGATGAGGAAGAGGGGAAAGGAATAGAAGACTTGTCACAGCTTGGAGCAGGTACTGTAGCGGTCAAACTACAGACTGTTCAACAAGAGTCATACCAACTTGTAGAGAAAGGTTTGTATGAAGCAATCTCACTTTTAAACATATCAATAATACCCAAAAGCATAATTTTCGGGACGTTCATGACATTCCTCTTTACAGTGAAGTGAGGATTCTGTTTTAAGATCCCACCATGTCATTGCCTGTTAAAGACACTTAGGTGTGCCCTATTTTTCAATTAATTTGATAGATACTAGTATTTTGAATTCCTACTCAATTACTGAAATTAACATGTGTTTTCCAAAAAGAAACATATCACCAATCGCATCTGAAAGAAGACCATAGTAAGGTATATCTGCCAGATAGTCCCGTTACTACATTTGAGTGTTCAGCGTATTTACTACTGCATTAGCATTTCAAGTACTTACCATAGTGTTCATATTAGTTTCTGCTGAATCGTGTGGAACCCGAACGGCACAATCTTTTGTCCTAATGTTTAACTCACTATAACTGTGAGTCACCACAGTTAGGGTTGTGATAATAATTTTTGGGTGGATTGTGTATTTAGCTACAGCCGCAAAACCAGATTTTTTTAATGAGTCTCAATATGTTTTACTTAAAAAACATCTCGCAATAATGTAATTTTTATGGCAGTCAATGTCTTTTTCAGCAGTATGGGACATATAATATAATTTCATTCAAACTGAATTGGAGACAATATATTTTTTTAGATATATTTTTCAAATAGCTGGAGATCCAATTGTGACACTAGCACAACACGTTGTGGGATGTTGTCAACAATCACAGGGAGAAATAGCGTCAGCACCACAGCAACATCAAGGGACACAACTCCAACCAGCTTCAGTTGGTGATGTTGATCAGACAACAAGTCAGGCACAGCTGCCCACAACTACATCTTGTGTAGTTCCTAACACAACCAGTCTACAGGTCCCGACAACAGCAGCCCTGGCACCAGCGTCCACATCATCTCTCCTACCCAGAATACCAGGATCTGTTGTATCAGAGATACAGTCGTCCGGGCTACCCGTGGTACCAGTGACTGGTGATTCCCGTGTAGGTGGGTGCAGATAAACAGGGGCGTGACAAATATCTAATACCTTCAATAGGGTATTTTCAAATGACTTTGTTTTTTTTAAGCTAATAGGCTATGGCAGTATTGCCTTCAAGTTTTTACAGGGATGTCATTAACCCTATACAACCACCAAACAAGGTCTAGCTCTGCTCAAATGCAGGTTTGCCACTGTCAAACAACCATAACAAGACAATCACCATTTTCGAAAATATGTAGGGGTTATCACGCGAGTGTGTTTGGGGATGGTAAATACACTAAATTAGGAATAAACGTTATATTTAGCGAGCCTAGGCGAGCTAAATACATAGTGTTTATTCCTAGTTCTGAATATTTACCATCCACAATCGTGATAACCTCTTTATCATGTAATGTAATTCTTGCATTTTGTGCTTGAAAATCGCTTTCCCGGTCTCACAAACAGTACAGAAACATTGCGAGTTTTCCTGGAATGCGCGCATTAATAATATTTATTACGTCACAGGGCAAGTGATGTGTCAGTTGGACAGTGACAGTAGTCAATCGAGTTCCAACTAAAATCTGTTCTTACACAGTGGCGAAGCAACATATACGCAAAACAACAATTGTTTTTACTTTTTTACCTGTCTTTCGCGGCACTCCATCGGACTGTCCGCTAGAGTAACTGTCCTTTGTCAAAGGGAAGCTACTCTAACCCTAGTCTATGAGACGTCACGACCACAGTCAGACGTTGGTGACAGTCGGTCTGTCCTGTCATAACGTTAAGAAGTACAGTCAGATGTACACACACCGACAAAACGAAACAAACCAACAATTCAAACATATTTCGGCCAAATCCAACTATTTTTCATTTGTGGAAAATGTTTCAAGCCACAGAGGTCTACAAGAACAGATATGGCTACTGATCCCGTTTGGCTATGCCTTGTGCCCTCGCGAAGTTGCAAGGAAATTTATATCTCCAAAGATGCCAAAACTTATAAAATGCCATAGCTACGTTACAGTTAGACACTTATTTTCAGTATATTAGACTGTTCTTTTGATAATGATATCAATTATCCCTGTACTTTATACAGAATTCCAATGGTAAGTGTAGGTTTCCGTCTTCCGGAAACCTTCTGGAAACCTTCCGGATACCTACCCATTTTGGATCCGGCCCGGATACCTTCCGGAAACCTTCCAAAAAAAATGTCAAAATTTGGGGGGGTGCATTTTGTTCAGTTAAGTAAAAAAATAACTTGAAAATACCAAGCAATTTGAAGGTTGCTGAAGGCATCTGGAAGTTTTCCGGAAGGTTTCCGGAAGGTATCCGGATGCAAATTTTCTTCATGACTTGCTTCTGGTAAATAAAGTTAGCCTGTGCATTACAGGTTATTTTAGTTGTAAATATCCTCCTCAAACTGAGATATGTGGGCATGCATTGTTCACAAGTTGTTTCGCGACATTGGTCCAATGTGTGAAGCTTATTGCTGGTGTCCCCCACCATGATATTGTTGCAATATTGCTAAAAGTGGCAAATCAGCATTCTCACTCAGAAGAAAATGGAATGTCATTGGCTATGTGCTTTGGCATTTGGCCCTTGTGAGATTAAAAGATTAGTTTGGAACGGTATCAGTACTTGTTATATCGGGACAGTGTAGTTTCATGGGAATATGAAACAGAATACAATTGTCACAAATTGGTGCATAAGACTAATGGCATCCATAGAAAACACCTAAATAAAGTACAGAAAAAATATCAATGTCATTTGTCTACTAAGGTGGAACTACAACTTTTGTTAAGTGAGCTGTATTTATAGTAGGAAAACATTCAGGGCATTAGTACATTTTATATTTGTTCAGCACCTACGTTATGGCTGATCAGTATTATATTTCTTAATGCTAATGAAGCAAAACAAATCATGTTTTTGGAAAAAAATCTTATTTATTGGTTATATGGCATTTCATTGGTACATATCACAAATTGAAATTTGATCAAGCAAGAAGAGGAACTAGCATTAAGTAACCAGTGGTGTTTGCAAGGCCTTACAGAACAGACGCTTCAATGCCATTTTCTAAATAAACAAATAAGTCAAATCTCAGAAGAATTTCATTGAAGAAGAATATCTAAAGTCAATTATGTTTCTGCAGTAAACCACAAAAGTCATTCAGATTTGTATAGTCAGCATCGGTGTATACAACCTGGACATAGTCACAGTGCTTTGGCATAAATTCATTCAGACTTCATTAGTGTCATAATAAAACCACCTACAGTCACACTGATGTGGCATTGTTCATTCAGAATCATCACTTTCTGAGGTGAATCTGTTGGTTGTTATCAGGAGGACTGTTCATCATCCGGCGAGTCCTTTGTCTGAATTGTGTGAGCAAGATCTTCTTAAATGTAGCGGGTGTCAGATTGTGAAATCCAGGTACCTGAAACATATCATAACATCTTTAGAAACATGTTAGTCAAAACTTATGAAACACACACAAATTTACAAATGTTTAAAGTTATTTTCTCGAACAGTGAGGTATTGACAATTTATCTTGCAACTGATATTTAACCAATCTTTGAACATGTAAATAAGCCATTGCAAACAGAAAAGTGTTCAGAAAATACATAAATGTATCCGGTTTTCTAAAACAATACCTTAAGCGCCACAAGGTTCACCTGAATTTTGCTTGAATGTTTGCATTACATCAAAATGTAAGGAAGGGTAAACAAGACAATGCCAAACTAATTTACATAGGTTCTTATACATAAATGCATGAATACAACTATTCATAATTATCAAAACACATGTCATGTAAGTGATCTCAAAATACAACATAATGAGCAAGTGAGTTGGTATAGTTTCATGCAGCTTGTTAGCAATATTCCAGCTATGGGCTTCACACATTGTACCCATGTGGTGAATTGAACCTGGGTTTCAGAGACTATTTCACCCACTAGGCTACCCTTGCACACCAAATACAAAAGAAAGTATATTAGGAATTCAGACAATAGATATTCTCACCATATTCATTAATTCATTAATGACAAATTAGGATGAGACTGTAGAAGCATTTATCTAAGTTATTATGGATATTTAATATCTACCGTTATTTGGTAGTCCACCATAGACAGTGATAAGAAATTCAACCAAAAAGTACAACCTGAACCATCAACTAAAAACTATGTATATTACATTAAAGGGGCCGGTCATGTATTACCGGTATGTTCTCATTCATTTTTGACACAACCCTCCCTGAAAGAAAATGCAAAGCACTTTATATTTTATTGTCCATTTTGTCAAAAGCCTCCCCTAGAGACTCTCACATGTTGGGGGGACCCTCCCTGTTTGTTCTGATCTGAATTCAAATATTCATGACTCATTATCATATTTTAACATTTATCCTATCTTTTTAGAAAATTAACTTAATGAAGATTAACAATAACATGCAAATCTGCCAAAATATTGTCCTGGCAAAGTTTAAATTAATCATAATTACTGTTATAAAGTTTTGGATCCATCATCTGTTTCTAAATACAGTGAAACCCAACTTTGACTTGTGTGGCATTATTGAATCATCTACCCAATGTTCTTTATGCATTGATATGCATCTGCACAGAGTGGTCAAAGTCCTTGTCTGACACATAGTGTGCTACAAGGGAGACATCAGTTTGTGTCTAGCCAAACTGTCTGATAATCTCAAGGGCTGCCTTACTTACTTACTTACTTTGGAGATTTAACGTGCGCTTTCCGACTGATGCGTATTTCGCACACGGGCCCGGCCAGGCCATTTAATGTGTTTCCGAAAGGGGCGAAGGTGGTCTGTGCAACCCAAGAGGGGGGTTTTAGGGGTTGCTTATATAGAATTTGGGAATTTTGAGATTTGGAATAGATGCCGATGGGATTGGGGAGGAGAACTAAGGGAGCTGGGTATGGTGGATGTTTGTTTGTTTATGTGATTTTGATTTGGTGAGTTATTGTGTTTTTAGATGCGTTTTATTAGTTCCGTTTTGATTAAGAATACGCCTAAGGCCTTGAAGTTTTCTAGTTTATTTTGTGGGTTTAGTATTGCTTCTAGAGTTAGAGCCTTGTTTAGATTGAGGGTGGTTTGTAATGCGGTTCGATGTGTTAGGTAGTGTGTGCAGTGGATGAGTGCGTGTTCTGGGGTTTCTGGTTGTTTGCAGTGTGGGCAGTTACCTGTAGTGTGTTTTTTAAATTTTTTAAGGTGGTTATTTAGGTTGGTGTGTCCTGTTTGGAGTTTAGTGATTACTCTGTCGATTTTTTTGGATGGATGGAGAATTTTTGGTTTGGTTAGTGGTTTGCTGAGCACTTTTTTGATTTGGCTATTTGAGTTTAGATATAGGTTATGCCATTTTTTGGTGATTTTTTGCTTGTTTACACTTTTAATTTCTGATTTTGAGATGGGTAAGTTTAAGCTTATTTCTGGGATTTTGAGGGATAGTTTAGCTGCTTTATCGGCGTTTTCATTACCGTATATTCCTACGTGGGCGGGTATCCACAAGAAGGTTATTTGTTTGCCTGCCTTAGTTAGGTCGTTGGAGCTTTTAAGTATTTGATTTATTAATTTAGGTCGGTTTTTGGTATTTTTGTTTTGGAGGGCTTGCAGTCCACTTAGGGAGTCGGTAAGTATTAGGATTTTTTTGTGGTTTTTGGATTCTTGATTATGGAGGGCTGAGGCCATGCCCATTAGTTCTGCCGTGAATATTGATTGGTTGTTTGGGAGTCGGAAGGATTGTGTGGTTTTAGTTGGTTGTGTGGTATGGACTCCGAAACCTGTGTGTTTGGAGGTCGGATCTGAGGATCCGTCCGTGTAAATGTGACACCAATTTGGCCAATTTTCGTGTATGTATGCTAGTGTGGTAGTTTTAGCTATGTTTGGGTCGGTTTGTTTATTTATTTGGCTAGCTAGTGTTGTGTCTATTTTGGGTATTTTAAGTTTAGGGGTGAAGATATTTGATTGTTTGCAGTTTTGTTTAAGATTTTTAATTTGGTGTTCATTTAGGTAGTTTGTTATTCTTTGGGATATTGGGG